AGGTGTGACCGCAAGTCACCTTGCTGAAAGTTTACCTGAGTAACAATTTACCGCGCCAAATTTATCACGGGAAAGATCTTTTTACCATGATGGGTACATGTGTAACGGCACCTTATAACAAAAAATTAAGCAATAGTCTACATGCTAGCGTGGTGTATTACAACTGGTTCTCAGAAGTCATATAAATTCATCTGCGGTACCCTGTTGTCTTGGTTCGAAGACTATCTTACTGACTGCATCCAAAGGGTCACCGTTCTCGGGATTAATTCTAAATCTCTCCCTGTGTTATCAGGTGTGCCGCAAGGATCAATACTTGGTCCACTCTTGTTCCTCAAGCATATAAATGATTTTCCTGACGTGGCGTCCTCAATGTCTGTTGCTCTCTTGCTACCGGTCAATCGAAAGCAGGGGATGGTGCTTGCCTACAGCAAGACCTCGACCACATTAACCAATGGTGTCATCTCTGGCAAATGGAACTAAATCAATTCAAGCGCGGGCTACTTTCTATTACCACAAATGCTGGCTCGTTTCACTTCCCCTATCAATTACCCGATGTCCAAGTTAAGAGGATGGAAACTCAGAAGAACCTTGGGGTTTTAGTTACTAAACATCTGAAATGGAACTCCACGTGTTGGCAGCTTGTTCGAAGGCCAATAGGATGCTTGCCTTTATCCGGAGATCAGCTTTTTTAACACTCATGACCAGCGAGCTCGCAAGTTACTTTACCTGTTACTAGTTCGTAGCAACCTCACATATTGCTCGCAGGTGCGGGCTAAGTTAGTTATAAGCAGAGGCTTTTGAAAATTGGGTTATTACCTTTATTGGCACGAATTTTTAGATTTGGTGCCTGTATTAAAATATTTAGTCAGTCTATCGGATCTTTTTATTTCAGTCATGGATTCCACTAGACCCATGGCGCACTGTCTCCTTCAAGGGTACGCCGGTTGAATACGGTTATGGCCAACTCCGCCTCCGTCTCCGTCTCACTAAGTCTGTTTATGATGTGGCACTAGTCAGCCATTGAACAGCTTGCTCGATCGGATGTGTTGATTTTTTATCGATGTCCTCCCCAATTCTGTTTTTGCATTTCCGTTTTTTTTTCCTGTCGTTTCTAAGGTATTATTATTCTTGTTAGTTGTATCAGTAATTTTCCTTTTTCTTTTTTTTTTGGACCTCGTAGTGGAGCTTGCTCTGTGAGTGATCCAGGCCTTTTAGCGAAGTTTAAAAATAAATAAATGGGACGAACTGCTTACCACCAGCCCAGACCTCTCCGTTATTAGTATCTAGATTCATATCAATGAGATAAATATCCACTGAATTCACCAGAAACGCGTTTATTTCAACCCAATTCTGAAAAAATTTTGCGTAATTTTTATCATCATTCTGTTAGTACATTTGTACTGCTGGGAGAGACAGGTAACAGTGGGAGAGACATAGTGACACTACTGGCAAAGGCATGGAAGTATCTCATAGTACCTGGCACGGGATAATACGACTTTTCGTGAGTGAGCCACTTCGTAGTTCTTTCCTTCACTATGGTTCCAAAGTTTCGGATGTAGTTCAAAGCACTAAATGTTTTGTGCTTAAAGTGAAAAGCCCCTTAGCTACGTTTTCAGGAGTGTTAAAAGCTCCACTTTGTCGCGCGAACAAAGGATTTATAGAACTGATATTTTCTATCAGCTTGTTCATCCCGTTGCGTATACGTAACAAGGAGGAGACTAAGATATTGGGTTTTCTTTTGGATACAAAAAACTCATCGTGGTGGGGCTTTAAAAGTGTGCAAATGCCCCACCCCGGGACAATAACAAAATTGCATTTTGCGGTAAAAAGCTGCAAATGTCATACCAAAACGCTTGAAACACCCTTCCCAGATCGCTCCTAGCCGCTTGTTATAATTATTGCAAAAAAGATCACATCGATGTGATGAATATCAATGACAGAACTATAAACTAGAATTTTGATACCTTTCTTCTTATCAATTGAACATATGCAAAATAATAAATGATAAACAAACAACCGCCGAGCTTTCACATGAGTATTTTCTCAAGTTATGATGGAACCGTTCCGCAATTGTCGTATTGATCACACAAAACACAAAGTTTATATTAGCTTTCTAATTTCTCACAGAGTATTTCTAGGGCTTTCTGCCTCAATCATTCGCTCACAAAGAAAGAGTCTTTTCCTTTAAATCCTTCAAACAACGCATTGGTTGTTTTTCCTCCTTGTGCGAACTGAAGCAATTTTTTTAGACGGATGCAAAAACTACTTTGGGGAAGGGTGGTGATGGAGAGAAAATCACACTTATCTTTTTAAAGCATATGTATTAAAAATATTCTTTATAGAACTATATATGGCTATCTAAATGGGCATTTTTTACGTTAAATACGTAAAAAGGAGCGATGTTAACCGCCTCAAGAAGAATCAAGATGACAAATGCCTTGAGGGGATTGACTGAGCTATTAGGTACTGATCCGCTTTGTACCTCAAAACAGACTTTGTCGACGTTCCTTCTTGCGTCCCTCAGTAGGGACCTTTAGATCCGACGACGGCGACGGCAACGGGAACGCCACAAAAGCTATAGGTTTAATTAGCAAAACAACAACTTTGCACGTGCATCATGCCGTCACTGCACGACTACGACGTGAAAATGCCTAAATTCACAATGTACAGAGGAAGCACAGAAGCGACGACGAAATTTCCTCTCTCTTTCTGAAGTTGGATATGATTCTTAGGAATTCAACTTCAGGAGGGTTCACCTACATTTGACAAAGTTAGTGACTTGGAGTTATCGCGATGAAGATTGAAAGAACGCGAATTCACATTTTCAGCGACGTTTTCTCTGCCGTCGCCGTCCTCGGATCTTAAGGTCCCTAATGTTACCTTTTCGCAAGCGTTCCTTTTTCGTTTATTTCAAAAAGTGTCCCAAAGACATCCAAAGGTTTTTAAAAGAAATGAAACTGTTTCAGAAAGACCGGTTAAATAAAAGCTTAATAGTTACAAACGCAGCTTCAGTTGCCATATCTAATGATAACTCATATAACAGTCACTATTTTTCTTTTTCTGGATTGCCCCTTATGATAATAATTTAAAGCTATTTAACTTTTTCTACTTTTCTAATTAGCTTAAATCTCCCAGCTAATATTTTCACTACGCGTAACGGATGAAAAAAACTGAATTACAGGCACTAACTGAGTCTGCACTGGCCGACAAAACCAGTCCAGTCAGGGACACAAAATATTTTTTTTAGAAGAACGAATTTCACCATTAATCAGAATTGTGCAGACAGATCAGTCTATTCTTATTACTATGCACGAGAGTTACATTTTCTTTAGCGGAAACTCGCAAAAAAAAAGCTTATTCTATTTGCAAAATATATATCAAAATTTTATCTACTGTACATCTACACAATAGAACCATTGCTAACTACTATTTAGCGATTATTGCTCCTTTTAATAATATCTTCTCTAAAAATTACGTCTTGGCAACGATACATAAAAATATGAATTATACATAAAAAGTATTATAAGTATAAATCTTTGAAAGCATATAAAAACCGAGCTTTACATTTTCAGTCAAATGCAACCTTCAGCTTATTTGTTCACTATCCTTGAAGGGTCTGTGTCACGATCATGTTCATGTGCGGCTACAATTGACACAAGAAAGTGGGTGCACGTGATATGACATGACATGACACGCACGTGTAATAGCGACGACCCCAAGTTGATTCACTAACTTTTTTTCCACACGGATGGCGGTACCTCGGCTAAATTATATCTCACTGTTCGGAGTGCCATTTCGTCAAGTTTTACTACGTGTGGAAAGAAAGTTTCGGTCACTTGTGCAAGTTCGGGGAAAATTGTTGGCAGCAGAGACGCCAGCGACTGCGCGAGAGGACGCTGGCGGCTCCGCGACCAAAACTTTACCCCGAACTTTTAGGTATCGTTCAGGCCTTGTGTTCACCTTTCCTCGAAGACATCAAGTTTCTATGTAGCCTTCATACACAAACAAATGTGCTGTGACAGCCGTTCACAGATGACGTACAACTATCTGTATACCGTAATATCACTTTAAGAGTTTTCAGAAGATCGATGAAACTAAATATTTCCCATCATCGACGACAACTTTGAAAATTGTCCTGTTGAATCAAAAATCAAAACGCCGAACATGCGCAGAAGGCTTAAACAGGTTATTAAATACATGAAGATGCATCCTGTGCCTCACTGGCAATAACGTCTCATTATACTTTTTCCAAAAATATATAATAATTTCATTTTCAAGAACAGACTGCCTAAGTTGGAATAAGCAGACTGCCTTGCTTTTAAGGAAACTTAGGAATTGATTGACCAAATTCTAATGGCTAACAAGGAAGATCCAAATTGATTTAATTCAAACCTATTTTTAACCTAACTGCCTAACAGTTGTCCAAAGCAATGTGTACTACAAATCGCCAAAAAAGGCTGCTAAACCCCTAATGTGCGGCCCAAGAATTGCTATTGCTATAGTATGCTCTACTGAGCCTAACACCCTGTGTGCAAAGTCTCCTTTTGCTTTCTTCAGTAAAGTTGAGGTCGCCCCAGCCCGAACTTCTGGACTAGTCAATCTTATTCTCTCTCGTCAAACTGGTTTTTTTCGAGTGCGAACAGCGATTTAATGGTGAACAGATGGTCATAAACGATCACGCTGTAGCAAGTACACGGTTGTTAGGTTCGAATGGGTTCGACACTATATCCTAGCAACATGCCGCGCATGCTCAACAAAGATCTTACTCGATCCATGCAGAATCAGTCTGGATCCGAGCAAGCAAAAAAAAGGCTCTGTTGACAAGGTGTTCGCCTAATAAGCACGCATGAGCAACGAGAACGCTGACGTCACGGACGTCATAACTAGCAACCGGAAGTTTGACGTCTCGCTTGATGGAACACTTCTGTCTCACACAATGAATCTGAATGTGTTGTTTTGACTCATGCTCTACGAATTGGCTGAGTCTGCGCACTGAAAGAGAGAAAATATCAACTTCCGGTTGCGTCCGGTCCGTCAATGTTCTCATTGCTTTAGGTCCCTAATAATGAATGAGACCCGTGAATTCTTACACAGGATTTTTTTACAGTAAGTCTGCGGATCCCGCAAGCTCACATTCCACTAAAATGTCATAAACTTCTCCAACATTTAAATGACGAGAATTTGCCACAAGATTAAGAGCAACGTCGCAAGGGTTTAAAGTTCTCTTGTCGAGCTCGCGGATTTCGTCGTAAGACATACCAAGCTTCTCTGCAAGTAGTTTCCATTCGTCTCCACCTGAAATGAAATTAATTCCGTCAACTGAATTAAAATGCTCTAATACAACGCTCCAATATAAAGATCCCATGCAAGACCCTCCAAATCGCCAAAATTCGAGGTTCTCTCTCACAATAAGTAATATTTTGACTTTTTTAAAAAGTATATATTCATCGCAATATTTTACGATATTGCAAACCTTAAAATATTTCTATACAACTCTTATCATCAATTACGAACCCTGTATTCCCCTAACCCCTCCACCACCCCCAACCCCTTGTAGGAAATTAAGGCGACAAGTGCGTCGGAAATCGCGTTTCAAGAGGCCACGATACTCTTGTCCACGCGTCCACGCGCAACTGTCCCCAATATACTGAAAAAAGCAGGTAACAAACACAAAGCTGATTCGTATGTTATTTTACTTACCGCCGAGATTGATTGTCAAGTCCTTTCTCTGCTTAAATGGGATACACCGAACATCAAGGTTTTCAGCCAACAACGGGCCTGGTGTATTGAACAGAAACACACATTTTACTATTAGGTTGAAATAATAAGTGAAGCGTTTTATATTAAGCCCAAACCAGCAAACATTTTATTTTAGTCAATCGGCGGGAATGTTAATTTTACCAGGGGAGGGGAGTGAGGGGGGAACATGGAGTTAAAACAATGCACTTATTTGAGTGTCAATGTATTTAGCACGAAAGTCCTAATTGGGGACACTATTTTTACGTCTCCTTCTAGAGATGGGACCGTCATTTTACGTGATCATCCGAGCCACGGAAGTTCTAGCCGCTTGCAGAGCAAAGGGAGTACCGTATTTCCTCGAATAATAGCCGTCCCTCGATTAATCGCCGCCCTCAGAAGGATATATTTAAAATAATCGCCTCCCTCGAAAAATTGCCCTCCCACCCTCTCTCGCCATTTCCTCTTTCTTCTAGACCCCTCCTGTCAAGTTGAAGTGGAGTCTGATCCAGCAGAGTTGATCAGTGACGATTCAAGCTCTGACACCGAGGATATTGACATTGAAAATTTATCAAGGAACCAAATTTGAAACACTTGAAAAGCCCATGTTCAGTTTATTTGACGTGATCATTTTCTGATTTAATGGCATAAGAAAACAAAATATTTAGGGCACGAATTCCAGTAAGCAATATTTGAAATAATCGCCACCCCTGAATAATCGCCCCCGACTATTATTCGAGGAAATACGGTACCTTCATTTCTCACTTATTTTAAGACCCGGAGTATTGGTCCGGCCCCCGGAATCGGACCCGCGACCTCCCGCTCTGCAGTTACACGCTCCACCGACTGAGCTAACACTGCCGAAATAAAAGCAAAAAAGCAAGTCCAGGCAGATAATTTTGTAGGGTAATAAAGGTGTATAACTGATAAGCAATGTGAAAATGGTGAGTTGACAATCGCCTATCAAAGCAAAAGAAATGTTGGATGAAGTTGTATGCAGTTTCTGAACTCATTTAAACCTGTCTCGACGTTATCCAATGACACCCATTAATGTCAACTCACCGGTAGTTCCAGCGGGGACAATTGACCTCAAGTGGGTAACTATGTCCATCCTATTTTCATTCTTAGCGTTGATTGCAAGGCAACGGATCCACTGTTTGGTCTCCGCCGTTGGATCAGCTAGGGCTGCAGACTTCAACTGTAGAGTTTTTACACTTTCTTCCATCTGAGCCATAACATCCACTGCATCACACGATTGAGACCGAATGGCCTTTAGAACACCATCAGGCAGAACAAGTGATTGCTCTTTGGTTTGAAAAAAAGAACGGAGGGGATTAAAAACGGGGATACTCAGGTAATGTCCACACGAATCCAGACATTTTTGAAACCGCCTATAATTGTTTTTACCCGGGTTCGTGTGGACGGGGCCTTAATCCAATCTGGAGAACGGTGTCACAACAATGCGGTTTCGCTGAGCGGATTCACTGGTTTAGTGTGGACGGAAAGCCGACTCGTGCCAAAAGGTATACTGTAGAAAAAATACCCAGATATGTGGACGTAGCCTCAGGAGGGAGGGACACCGAAATTGAATTTCCATAATGTGACCTTTGCTTCATAACTTAAGAACGTCGAGAAGCCTCTTTTTTGCCCAAGGGGTGCTACGTAATATTACTCTATGTCAGGCTTGTTTTTAAGCCTCCCCCTCCTGATAATTTTTTGCACCACAGTCATGAGCAGTAGACGTACAAGGGAAAAACAGCAGACATAGAGTAGGGGCCAAACTACAACATGCGCACACACCAATAATTGTTGTGAGGATGCGTCAAGTTATGGGAAAGAAAAAGACTTTTCGCAACATGTTGCGGTGACAAAATGTTTTAAGTACGCCAAAGACTTTGTTGTGAAGGGTTATGTAACATGAATTCCCCGCCAACGTAATTATAAAACTGAAGATGTACCGTAGGGGGACTTTTCAACAGCTTCAGCCTCTCGCATTGACTCATACCTTTCACGTCTGTAGCGTCACATGTAAACACTTGCTATTATCGATTTAGTTTCTGAGTTATCGCTGCGACCGCAAAAACAATCATGATGGTTCTATTGCCACTTTATACGGTAGACTGCCTTTGTCCGAGAAAGTATACCTTTCATTTGGTTTAAAAAAGAAGCATTGTAGATTATGACATTTTATTTTGGTTCTCGCAAACAAAGGAAACATTTTTCAGAGGGAGGGGTAGGGATGGGATGAGAAGGGGGAGGTTGTAGCCCCACGAATTTCAAAACTGTTGCATTGTCCCTGGTCAAATATCCGGAAAAGGCAAACTATGGCAACTGAAACGAATGGCTATAAATAAAATACACCAAAAAATAAAAGAAGACGTACCTCTCGTAGAGACTGCTTAGTGTTGTTCACCTTGGTTACATCCATTTACATCTTGTTGCTGTGACAAAATATAAATGATATTAATGATAGCTCCGATTTTAAGCACGCCAGTTTTCAGATGTACGTAAATATTTGAGAGTTCGTCGAGGATTTCCATCTTTTTACTACTGCAAACGCTTTCGCTTTTTGTAGAGAGAATTGTACACGCAGTTTGACGGAACCTACTGAGAAAGAATTGGCATGTTACTGTTACTGTTGAAAGGAAGTCAGGATGGGTCTTTAACATGTAATCGCGTGTATATTCGTGAACTATAATTTGGAACGGTATATAAAAAAAACGTAAGAGTTGTATGCAATTTTGATGAATGATTATTTAATCACTCGTTTTTTGGAATATGCAACAACAAACCTTAGTAAGGGAAATCCTTCCTTCTTCCTCGTGTGAAAATGAAAACCAAGGTACGAACATCGCTTTGAAAATCCTGCGATCCCCACAAACAACAGGCCTTTTACAATATGGAAGGTTTTGCATCTCTAATTCTGACAACAGATGCAAACAATCGCAGCCTCGCACACAATGTTTACGGCATTTGGAGCTCCCTTTCTGCAGAGAACACACAGGACAAGAGACACACATTTCGTATCTCATATGCTCTAACCAGAAGAACTCCTTACGCATGCATTCAAGAAACAATCTCATTTGTCGATGAATGTCACGGCTTACATTCCGATCAACTTCACAGCTAAAGCTTGCCTCGTTAGCAAGAGCTACACCATCTCCAACACACAAAACTATCTCGATGGACGAGGAATGGCAGAGTAAGACAAGGGAAGTGGCATTATGAGGAAGGATGTGAAATAAGGCAACGTTATTGAACAGCACAGGTTTGATAGGGCTCATCCATCTTTCTTGGGTCCACTTATGCAAAAGCAGAATAAGTCGTGAAAACAGGCCTGGAGGCACTCTGCGTGATTCAAACCTCACAAAAAGTGAAGGAATTTGGGCAGAAGCAAGGAGCTTAAGAACATCATCTGTTGGGGGAGACCTCAACATGGATGGTACAAGATACTGCTCTTTGGTCCCTTCTGATGGCCATGGACAAAGCAGACTAAATCTCTCCATTATAGCAATGAGGCTCTTGCAGGTTTCTTGGTCATCAATGAAGCGTCCCCATGCATGAACTAAAACCTTTCTATCTAAGACTCCAGTCGTCTCAAAATCTTTCCACAGTCTTTCAACGCTGTTCTCCGTGGTATTGAAACTTTCAACGTTATTCTCCGGGGGATTGAAACTTTTGAACGTGATTACTTCCTTAAACACGTCTACAAGCCACTGTGGGTTCAAAATGACCATGCTTTCCAATTCCGGTAATTCATTAAAATTAATCAAAACTTTTTGATCGCTTAAGAAGTTAAGTACTGTTCGAAATTTCACATCGTCGTCAATCCCGCAGTCATCCTTGGCTATCTGTCGTGCTTCCTCGATGGATATCCTCTGGCGGCCCTTGCTCATTAAAAGATACAGAAGCTTTTCATACTTTAACCACTTTAAAGGAATTTCCTCTTTCATTTGTGGAAGCTCCTTAGCAACAGAAAGTACAATTTCTCTCAATTTTTTCACGCCTTGGCACTCATCATCGCTGCCTGACTTCGTATTGTCTACAACAAAAAAGCCTTTGAGGAGATCGCGATAAATCTTGTCTTTCAAAGCTCCATAGATTTCTTTGGAGGGATTACCTTTCTTAGTGTAAGGTTCGTCAGCATGCGTACAAGCCAGGAAAACTGAAGGCAACGTTTGTGGCGACGACGTTTTCTGACGGTTAGTATTTTTACTAACCAAAGAATAAATTGATGACATCCAAAAATCAAGGTAGTCAAAGTTTGTTTTTTGGCAGTCGTTGTCTTCTATATCCTTGTACATGCCTTGTTTTATAGGAGTGTCGGCTTTCTGATACGGATAACGACTGAGATCATAAGCCAAAATGTAGATGGCCTTTTCTGTCAAGAAAATTGGATGGGTGTCGTAGAAAACAGACTGTCCTCCAAAATCCCAAATGACAGAATACATGCCGTCTCCCTCCATGAACTTTGTGTTATCTTTAAGCAGTTCTTGAACCAATGCTGCTACGTTTTCTGGTACTTTTTGATGATCTTTGGAGTCTTGAGTTGATGGGTCGCTCTCAATCTGCTCTATAACTGTTGAACTGGTTTTGAGTTCCTCTGGTTCTACAGAAACTTCTGTACGTAATGAAGGGGCTTTGGCATTCTCGACTGCTTTGGAATCTCGAAATGACGGTTCGAACCCGTTACTGCTAGATTCCTCTGATCGTTCAGTGGGCGGTGAATTCGCTTCAGATGGCTCGACTTCTTTGACATCTATAACTGATGGCTTGGTCCAACTCGTACTAGGATCCTCTAAACGTTCTGTCTCCTTTAAGCCTTTGAATATATTCTGGGCTAGCTGGCGGTCTAACAAAAATTCTGGCTCTGTTTGAGTATCTTCGCTATTACTGCCTGTCCTTTTCTGGCCTGTCCTCCAGACGTCTGTCGTGACTTTAAAATAGGAAGGATCCGTCTCTATACCTTCTGTGCTTCCTTCATTTGGATCGAACAATTCCCCTTTTAAAGACTTCTTTAGACTTGTCTTCCCTGTCCGAGCTTGCCCAATTATCATGATTGGCACTCTTCTGGCGTAACCGTATCCTTCTTTAAGTTCTCGATTGTAGACTGCCGTGGCCAGGGAACCTCGGGCCAGAATATCTAACGGAACTGATGGCGTAAAATAAAATATCAATTACGGAACATCTGCTATTTTAACACACTGATAAGTTATTTATATAGAAATATAAACTGGATGTGAGGTCTCCAACTTTTCAAATGTTTCACTTTTTATTAGACGTAAAAACGTTTCACTCTACGGGCTTCTTCAGTGTACAGCATAAAAATAATAAAAGTAGGTTATGAGTTTGATCGTCCGGGTGAACGTAGTCCTGAATAGGAATGTTGTTGTTGACAGAAACTGACGTTTCGACAACCTGTGCGGTAGTCATCTTAAGAGTCAAAGTGAGTTGTATCACGTCAGTTGATGGTATTATACTCTGGTTATAATACTATCAACTGACGTGATACAACTCACTTTGACTCTGAAGATGACTACCGCACAGGTTGTCGAAACGTTAGTCACTGTCAACAACAACAGTCCTATTCAGGACTACGTTCACCCGGACGATCAAACTCAACCTACTTTTGAAATGACTCCTGGGTTCAAACCTTTCACAATAAAAATAATAATTCAAAACCTGGAAAACATTTTTAACATTTGAAGGGCTACATATACACGAACAAGGTGAAAATAAATTGATATCAAGTTACGAAAGCATATATATGTTATGTAATAGCTGTGGTCACACTACAGACTTTTACCTAGGTAAAAACGATTTACCTAGGGCAAATTCATCAAAAATCTCCCGAGGTAAATTCATCCCGGGTTTTGTTTTACCTAGGTAAAAACTCTGGGAAGGTCACACTACTGATATCGGCTCCCAAAGTTTTGACGCCAGTTGAATTTTTGGAGCGTAAATTCAAGAAGGCAAAATGCACAGGGATCTAGCTGATCAAAGAGACGTAATTTTCTTTTATCTCGCTGTTATTTCTTACGTTAGTTCAACGTGCAAGGTGAAGAAAGGCGAAGACGTAGAGGACTCGTACCCCCAAAATTTCGTTCACAGCGTGATCTATGTCCGGTTCTGTCATCAAGATCTTCGCCGATGAGCGTCTATTGGCTAGCACCCTCGGTATTTCATTTTTCCCTAGCTTTTAGCTATTATTGTGAAAAAAAAAACATAATCCCACAGTTCGTACCTTAAAGTAAAAGTAATAAGATACAAACTAAAGGCCTACGTTGTTAACGGATGAGACATCCTATCAAACGTTTGCAACATCCGCCACATCCAAAAGGGATCTTTATATCTTTTCTGCGAAGAGACCTCAGATTCCTGCAGTAGTTGTATAAAGTTCCATGGAAAAATGAAACTTCCTTAACAGGTATTCGATAACTTCACAAAATCGGATAAACCTGCAGCTTAATACAGAAAATCTTTTGTGGTTTGCTTACAAACTAAAACAAAAAACATTCCATTTCATCAATCCAAATTTTTCCGTGAACATCAGTGAAAAGTGCACTTTGGAACTGTTTCGTTGCCTAGCACGTGGCCGAAAGTCTGGTCTAAATTTCATTACAAAGTTACATGAAACTCTGCATGGGTACCTAATTGGTTCTCAATTTCGCGGGTACTTAACTTCGGGATTTTGGTACGACAGGATTTCGCGGGGTTTTATTTTCGTGATTTCAAAAGGCAAAAGAAACGTTCAAAATCAAGATGAAAAGGTGATACGCGAGTTTTCACAATAAGTTTCAGTTGCTGTTTCATGGGACTCACCGGTATTTCGAAACACTGAGTTTATATTGTGTTAATGATGTATTTCCACGTCTATATTAACTATCAACTGAGTGTATTACAAATCGAAACTTTAAAAAAACTACTAAGCAGTTTTTAAATTACTGTGAAATTTGTAGGCGTGGACCAAATTACATACAAAAATGATGAAGAAAGTAGCCGAACGCACGTTTATAAAATTCTCCTTTCTCGCAATCGGCCAAAGCAATCCCCTATTTTCGTACACAGTTTCAGATGGAATCAAACCACTATGAGATGAAACTGCATATCCAGACCTCATAATTATTTTTTGATAATAGCTAATTAGGTTTATACTACTACATGAGAAATTTCTGCAATTTGATTGGCTTAGAGCAGTGGTATTTCAGCTTAATTTGAAATACCTACATGTGAAAATTACAAACCTTTTGAGGGTAGTATAGTATAAACAAATAATAGCATGATTTGTATGTGATATTTGGCATAAATACCATTCGTGATATTTCAAAATTGTCTCAAATTTCACTCGCCTAACGGCTCATGAAATTTCGTATAACAATTTTGAAATATCACTCGTGGCATTTATGCCAAATATCACTACAAATCATGCTATTACCTATACTAATAGCATGTTTATTCACCGTTTTTATGACCCTTTAAACTTCCTTTCAAAATATTTCTAAAACGCTCTAAAAGAATTAATTTTGTTCAAACTTTGCCATAATCGAGGCAACTAAGGGAGGAACAAGTTCCCATAAGTGATTTCTAAAACCTCCTAATACTGAGAAATACAAAGGCAAGTAAAAAACATAATGGCGTGATTTCATCCTATGTTCAATAGGCAACCAATGAAGCTGGATAAGCAACGGGGTAATATGTTCATGTCTACTAGTAAGATGAATAAGCCTAGCAGCACTATTTAGGACACACTGCAAACGTCTTAAGATACATTTTGGCTGACCGTAGAGCAACGAGTTACAATAGTCGATCCTTGCAGTAATAAAGGCATGAATTAGAGTTTCGCATGTATCGTGAGAAAGAAACTCGCGAATCTTAAAAATATTGCGTAGATGAAAAAAAGAAGACTTGCATACAGCGGCAAATATCCTGAGTCCTTCTCTCTATATATATCATTTTATTTATTACGACGATAAAACCCAGTAGAAATTGGAAGCAATGGTTATGCAAAATTTGGGGGGATAAACAAAGAGCGTTTGTAACTATTAACAGGTTTACTTCATTACCATGCAATTTACTACATAGTATATTTGAAACTCGTTTACATTCTTATCCTTTACATAAATTTAACGTAGGTTGCAAGAGAGCATCACCAAGCTACTCTAACTATTAATCACATTTTGACAGCTTTAAAGTAAAACACAATCAGTAGAGTACTGTAATCTTCTTAACCCAGCCAATCTAACTACAACCAGTTGCAAAAATACTTTATTTTGGCTTTAATGGGCTGCCCATGATTTTGTGCTTGTGATCCCCAATCCTCCCCTTATAACAGTTGCCAGCAATTTAAGACCAAGCTCAAAACTTAGAGGGACGACGTTCAACGGAAGGGAGGGGGGAGATGAGTATTAAATCTCACAGACGTGTGACTAGCAGTGATTTGAATTAAGAAAGGCCGGTTTTTCGTCGGGTTTCTCAACATTTTGGCAACTGGTTGTAGGCTACAAAATAGGCGTTTATGTATAAAGTCAATCATGGTATGGTACCTAGCAAAGTCAACGACATTTCTAGTGATCAGTCATCCAAGTATCACTAACAAGGATTCTCATATACCCAAATTTAATACTGTACATTACGGGAAACACTCTGTGAGGTACTTTGGACCATATACACCTATTTCAATTATGGTTGCTCCCGTGAACCATGTTTCATAGCCTGCATGCAGTGCACTATGGTAAACCAATTTTGTGGTGGGAAACTTAGTCTTGTTCACGTTCCTTGAAATAATGGAGACCATTTGTGAAAAGGTGTTCAAGACAGCTTTCAAGTCAAATGGCTGCTAAAATTCTTCAGCATGAGTGAGCTGAAAAATTTAATTTTTAAAATCTCATGGCAAAAAATTAGAAGCGTGTTTTACCGCCTGATCAAGCTGCGTTTTTGTATGGGCCAGCCTAAAATGCTGGTTATTTTAATAAAGCAAATCCATTCTATTCTTTTTTTTTTCACTCAGTTTTAAAATAATTGCCTCAAAAATAGATAAACACGTAGTGTTAGTTATTTATTGTTGTTCGACAAACACCTTGAATTAGATTTTTTTCAACTCCATCCAAAATTCCCACGTGCACGAGTCAAGCAAACTCGTTGAAAATTTGCAGCATTTGGATATTACCGCAGAGAAAAACCTAACCTCAAATCACTGTCTTAAATTAAAAAGGCTAGGATTCAGTGTTTTGAAATACATTGTCTTAACGTTCTACTGACATAGCATAGAAGCGTTAGCAGCGTTTGCTTTCTCGGTTAATTCTAAGTTCGTTGCGGGCACATAATTGACTAGACTTGCTACAATAATGCACTGCGGGCTATGAAACATGGATCATGCGTCTTTCTTCTCAGAAGCAACCTTAATTGAAATAGGTGTATATGGTCTAGATTGGACAGCAAAGTCAAAGACAAACCTAGCTTACAATCTTTTTAGTCCAGCATACGACGCATTACCCTTGTAGATCGTATAAGCGACAATTGTGACTCCTGTATAATTTGTAGCTCTAAGAATTTTAGTAATATTTTTTAGTATTTTCTTGTATATTTTAGTAGGATTAACTCCGTAATTTTAAAAGTTTCTAAATTTTAGATTTTAGGGAATTGTACAATAATCTAATTACTCATGGACTTGTAGTCAGTAAATGGGTTTCCAGTACAACCCTTCCTACGACTTGTACCACTAGAATCTAAGGCTTCACGACTTGAACAAGTAGTGAGTATTTGACATAGATGGAGGCGAAAAGACGCCCTAATATCGCTCACAATTTGGCGCTGCGACGAAATTGCCATCCTTGTCACAGGACAAATAGCCTGTTCCAGGCTCCAAGAAGAGTGATGTTCAGCGATATAAAAACTGATGCAAATAACGCGCGGGAGTTGAGGAGAGAGAAGGTGCAATTCCCTCTTGCCCATATCACGCGTGTCTTATTTTTCCTTGACCTTGTTTTCTCAACGTCCCTACTATTCGAGGGCATGGCACGGGCTACGCGTCAAATCGCGAGAAAAACTCTGGTAAAAAGAACTCTCCATACCTCTTAAAATTTGGCCAAGAAATTCCTATAACATATTTGAAATACGTCACATGCCTCTTGCTCCAACTAGTTCCAGATCTTAATGTGGTTCTCGGCCACTTTTTGAATCGAGTAATGTCGGCAGAGCTAACCTGAAGTTTGGCGAGGTAAGTATTTATTACTTCTACTTTCGTAAGCTGGAAAGAAAAGGGCAACCAAACTTTTGATCACAGTAGCACTTTAAGAGATACATGTAACAATCTACCTGACGATGGCAAAACTTCTAAATCCGCTGCATCGCTTTCTTCTGCATTAACTTGATTGGACACAAGGCAAAAATATTTCCCACTGTCATACATTGTCACAGGATCCAAGGTCAGTTCTTCATCAATCTCATCTGGTAGTTCAGCTCCATCTTTTACCCACCGATATTGTGGAGCTGGGTAGCCTGTGGCCTTGCATCTCAAGGTAACAGTCCCACCCATCCTGGCTTGCTGCGACTGGGGTTGTTTAATGATTTTCACCTCTTCTGTATTATAAATACATGTGTATAATTAATAAATTAATGCTAATAGTTAACAAAGTTAATCCAAAAATTATTATTTTATTTTAAGACTACTACAAGAAACCGAGTAAACAAAAACGAAACTGAGTAGAGGTTAACTAATGAGAATTTATCTTCAAACTAACTGTATGGAGAGGAAACATTGGGAACAGTTTTTAGTATTAGAAAATAAAATAATGTTGCTGGTGCATCTAAATCGCCACAGTATATGTAAGCACCATTATTCATGTTTGTTGACTAGACTAGACTTTTTGAAAATCTAATTATTTATACCCGTCCCTTACATAATCGCAGTAAGAACTGCCAGTATGAAATCGTCCAGTGAAAATAAAAAGAATAGAGGTCCAGATTAACCCCTATCACTAAATAAATATTTCATTTCATATGTTCAGGTGAGATCAAACCTGTACATCATGAAAACTTTCGATCTCTTATGAAATATTACCCTTTCTAATAGACGTCAAGTTTTAATGATTATTCTACAAGTCATTTTCAGTCAAACTTTATCCTCTCATAATGCACCTTGTTTTTTCCCCTTTTGTTGCTCAGCCTTCAGCACTTTACTTCTTTCCTGTTGACTGTTAAGAATATTCGTCAATCTGGACTCCATATTTCCTAGAGTGACTGCTGAAATATCTGCTAGCAGGTCAAGATCAGTGATCCAGAAATGCTTGAGATCTTTGCGCTGAAGTGCATCTCGAAGAAATCCCACAAACCCAGTAAACCTCTCTGCAAGTTGCTCTCTCTTCCACTCAGTGGTTGTTTGGTTGTACCACAGTAGTGCAGTTTTCACATGAAAAGAGGATAATGGCGAAAAGTTTGGTTCCCGTCTGAGAACTGTGTTGGTTATCTTGAACAGGTCATGACGGCATCCTTGATCCTTATCCATGTCTTTTAGAAGAGACTTCTGCATCAGTGTGTATGACTTGACCCATGCTGTTTCGCAATCAGTTCCCGCTGAAAGTAAAATACAAGAACTAGCTTCTTTTATGGAATTCCTTCATCAGTAGTCATGAGCATGTCATGGAAGGGAGTGTGCATCGAGGATGTTGAAACCTTTATGATAAATCAGTTTTATGATTTTAGCAGTTACAAATAAATACCGTAAAATTCAGAAAATAAGCCCCTCCAAATATAAGCCCCCCAAACTCGTAACGTACAAAACCCTGCGCTTAATCGCCCCTCCAAATAAGCCCCCAGGGGGCTTGTACTTGGAAAATTGCCCTCAAATACAAAGTGAAACAAAGCAAAAACGGTAAATTTACTTCCAACTATAAAGTTAGCCCAATCGATTTTGAGACGCAAATTACCCTCCATATATAAGCCCCTCCAAAAATAAGCCCCTCAAAAAGGGCCTTTGAAAAATATAAGCCTTGGGGCTTATTTTCGGAATTTTACAGTATGCCATGAAGCGTATAATTCATGAAATTGTGGTAATAATATTGTATGAACTTAAACTGTGACATTTGTGTTCTATGTGCAACAGCCAACTTTCCTCTGCCAGGCTCTCAAGTAGTAGGGACATTGCAAAAATAAGACAGCCCATGTCCTGGGAAGGGGGTAGCCCCCAGCCCCCACACGATTTTCGCGTCGCTCTTTACTTCACTGGACTACTATCTTGGAGCCTAGAACAGCCTCTATACTACCAATCAGCAACATGGTTACATAAAAAAAGTCAAGACCATGTTCATAGCTATGAGCCTTAATTCAACTTCAGTACCTGGGAGATTGCCTTGTTGTGATGGTGGAACAAAGTATTCATCGCTGCTGAGTGGAAATGTCGGTACAAGCTTTACTTTCAGTGTCTGTGTCTTGGATTGACTGATGATGACTTTGACACCGGTGCTGCAACTAGAAGCCTTCAAATACATGGATGCAGCTTCTTTAGAGCTCAATTCTTGAACAGCAGAATTGACCAATTTAAATAGCCACGACTTGAATTTCTTTGGCATCAAGAGGCCATCTTCACGTGAATACTCCTTGTATGGGGAACCTTCCACTGCTTTGATGGTTGCATAACGAGCGTTCTCCACATTAATAGTGACAAACCCTTTCTTTGCCTTTAAGACGACATGAATTACAACATCTTCCTCATTAGGACCATTGATTTTTAGATTCTCATACAAACTTCCTCCATAATCAAACTTGCTTATTATCATAGGAGAGTTATCCTGGCAGTATTTGAGTACCCCATTTTTCATATACTCTTCAATCAATTTTTTTGACCACTTGATTTCATCACTTAGAATGGTTCCTAGTTGGTTGAGGAATTTTCACAGAAGCTGCAATAGATCAGTAGAAGTTTGACATGTGTTTGGCAGAATTTGTTTCTGCTGTCCAGATGTGATTGCAGGACAGTTTTCTCTTGCCTTTCTTCCATCACTGTCTAGCTGCACTGAAAGCGAATGGAAATTCACACTTTGATTAATTACATGCACATACTGATAAGCCAATAAATCTCGCTTCAGATTAGGTAATGCTTGTGTTGTTGAAAGGGTATGTAAGGACTCTAACAACTCTCTACCTATCAAATTGTGACTGAGAGTCTCTTTGGTTATCTCTTCGCCCTTTTTACCAAATACTTTGCCAAACAATTTTAATCAAGAGGGAATTGATAGGCAGGTAATGATCCTGATCATCTCTTTAAAGCCATATTAACCCTTCAAGATACAATAATTATCCATGTAGAAATTCTCCAGACTGATCTCCATACAGTTCCTTAAAGAATTATTGGAGAGAATTTGATAAAAGATCAAAACATTTTTCGTTAGATATTGTTAGGAGAAAAACAATGTTGGTCACTATTGGGACTTTATAGTTATAATAATATTATTGTTAGTTTACTCCAATTCCAAGTTGCCAAAAGCAGTTAATAAAAATTAATCTGCCTTACTTTCACATTTAAGGACTTTACTTCTCTCCTTGTCATTGTCCAAAATTTTGCGCAGTCGATCAGCCATGTTTTCTAGTGCTTTATCCTGTATATTATCCAGCAAGTTCACTCCTTCCACCCAAAAGTGATCAAGGGTCTTCTTTGCCAGGGCTGTGTGCAATAATTCCATGTACTCCAGAAATCTCTCTCCTAGCATATCTACACCCCACTTTAGTTTTGGATTGGAGTTGTAGTGCAAGAAAACTGTCTTCAGATGGTAGCTGGTCAGTTTAGCAAAGGTAGTCTCAGCGCGGATGAGGGTTTTAATGATCCTGAGAAGTTCATGCCTGCAACCGTGATCTTCCTTGTCCATATCCTGTAATCTTGCTTTCTCCCTCAGTGAAAACGACTGCCTCCAGAGAAGTTTTGGGTCACATCCTGGGGATATTTTTCCAGTGTATGATTTTGCAACGAAGTATTCTGTACCACTAAGCTGAAAAGATGGAACCACATCAGCTGACAATTTTTTTTCTGTTTTCTTGTCTGTGATGTCAAGCTGTACTGCCGGACCATGGGCTCGCACTTGAAGCTTTACAGGTAATGCAGGATCCTTTTCTTGGAGTTGATTTACAGCCTTTTGAACAAGGCCAAAAAACCAGCTGTCTCGTAGCTTCTCAGGCAGAATGTATCCTGCTGCATTAGCATACTTCCGCAGCTGGGAATCTTGTGATGCTTTGAGAAGCACAAACCCAGGGACACCAGCATCTTCTTGGGTTACTTCCTGTTTTGTTGTCTGTAGGATAACCATGACATCAACTTCATCAGCTGCTTCAGTCTTAAGCTTCTCATACAAGCTTCCTGTGTATTCTTGCTTGCTAACTGGTAGGGATGATTCCCTGCAGATGCGTGGCAAGATTTCTTTTTTGATGTAGTTGTCTACTAGACGTTTGGCTTGCTCTGTGTCTTCTATGGCTATTTTCACATGGTCTGTAGAGTAGTGCCGCAGTTGTTGTGTCAGCAAAGCTCTATCACAGGCATTCTGTTTTGCTTGAAGCATGATAACAAAGCTGCAGAGAGATAAAATAAATAGATCATTCTGTTCTTAAGTTTCTGTGGATAATCCCATCTCATTCAAGGGGAAACTGGGGAGGGGAGCAGGGCAATGGGGCTCAGTTGAAAAAGAAAAGCCGACAAGGACAATTTAGTATGTCTATTTGTTTATTCATTTATTCTATTTTATTTGCCACACAATAATATAAATTACAAATAATAAAGGGAAAGTAGAAAAAAGAAGTAGTGAGGATATTATTATTTACTTAATTTATTTAATCTTCACTATTTTCTAATGGAGAAAACTGGGATTGAGAGTTGATGACCTTGTTGTCAAGTCAATTAAAAAACTTAGTTCCTTGAAAAGAAGGTGAGAACTTCTTAGTGTTTGTTCAACAATACGTAGATGGTTGGCCAGGGAGTTTCTTGTATTGTAAGAGTGGAATTGATTGCTTTGGAAGAAATTGTTATTGAACCTTGGAGGTAAGAATGAATTTTTGCAAGAATACATAAATTGGCCCAATTGAAGCAAATTAAATTTCTTGTAAAAACTGACCAAAAATATACCTCACCGCGAAAATGCACAGAATCACACTCGTTCTGTACTTCTTTATGATCATCAGTGACTTGATGAAATGTTAATGTTTGCTACAACCAGTTGCAAAAATGTTTCTCGCTTCAAATCGTTCCTGGTCAAAGGTCTGTGAGCTATAATACTGACCTCCCTCCCATTCAAACTTGTTCCTCCAAGTTTTGAGCATGGTCTTGTATTGCTAGCAACTTTGATAAGGGGTGGAGGGGGGATCACAAACACAAGATCATGGATAGGCCATTTATGACAAAATACAGTGTCTCAATAATATTACTGGTTGTAGCTGTACTAAGATAAAGCAGAAACTGAGAGAAGCGTGAGAAAAAAACCTGCTCAGACCACGTGACCGGAAACGCATTAGCTGTGCAGAATAATGAGGCGTAAGGACAAGGCAACAGCAGACAGTCTTTCTGTAGAGTCCTTCGCTATCATTAAAAACACTGGACCAGGGAATTTTGTTATTGGCTGTTTTCAAACTAGAGCTAGAAATGCATAGTCACCCCCTCCCCCACAGACACCCCTTCTCTGATTTTTTCTGAGGGGAGGGGGCAGCTGTACACAGGGTATCTGAAACGGATAATCCATCTTCAAACTGTCCGTCAAAATTGACGGATAAAGTAAGGCGGATTGTTCATTCAAAATTAAAACTCTTTCCATTTCAAATTAAGATGTATTACCTATCTGACGTGAATTATCAAACGGATAACCCATCTCACATGAATAATCCGTCGCTAGTGTGAAAACGGCCATTAATTCATTATAACAGAAATTTTCTGTTATAATGAATGTCCCTCTTTTCCCCTGCCTTGAGTTGGGCGTTCACGTGTCTGCTTTTGCTTTCTCACAAAGATTATTTTTAAATTGTCTATTGACATTTCTATACATAAAAGAATATTAAAAGTGGAATACTTTACAAATAGTATGATCTATCAAATGTCACAAGAATAACTTAATTTTATCCCGAGATGATCCTAAGACCTTTATTTTGCTTTGAAGATACAAAAATACAGGTTTATTACTATTTAACTCTTTAACACAAAAGATATTAATTTTTAACTTTTTGTTAACTGTAACTGAAAAAAATTAACCGATAGCCGTAAAAGAGCCAAAATTCTAGCCAATACCCGTAAAAGCCACCACCCCATTGAGACCCTCTTATAAATATAGCAGCAGTTCAGAAATTTGAAAGTAAAATGAGGAAATTTTGTATTATTTGTCCAGTACGAGTAGAAGTGCTTAAAATAACGTACAAAAGGACAGAAAACACTACCCTTTCATTTTCTGTTTTGGCTTTGTTAAATTTGTTTGAATTTCAATAAATGCTTCACAGTCTACAGTTTGACATTTAGCCATTTCCTACAGACCATTTTTGATAATATCAATAATATCAAGTCTGTGTCTAGCGTTTGAAGAAAGTCTGTTGATAACGATGTTCTCAAAAGTAGCCAGACAAGAGGAGGATTTTCCTCCGAAGAAGAAAAGGAAATCTTTTGGCTATTCAGAAGAGTGGAAAATAATAAAGACAGTCTGGGACGTTTTTGGGTTTCATGTGTCATACACGCGTGAGCTGTTTCCGGCCGAATTAAACGCACCGGCTCCCCGGACGGTGTCGGTTTGCGATAGTAAAAGTGACGACCCTCCCCCGCGAGAGTGACGTTTTGTCCATCTGACGCCGTCGCTAAGCTCCAAGATTTGAATCTCGTAGGATAACAGTTAAGATTGCGCATCATGGCGAAGCGAAGCTGGCCAGAATCGATGCAAAATGCAACGATCCTTGAGCTCATGCAGCCGAATTTAGAACCTGGCGCTCGTCGAACGGGTAGGTGTACACTCTTCGGTCTGGCTGATGGCAATTTTAGGGAGATCGGTCGCTTTGTTTGGAATTTATTGGCCTTCGAGCGGCGAGGGTCAATTGGAAGGTCTCCAGCCTTCCCTTCTTTTATAGTGTTCAGTACTCGATGGAAAGAAAGTCGACTAAACGGCGTTTAAACCAGCCGTAGGACACAGAGTGGCTATGAACAAAAGGTAAGGGAGCTTTTTGAATCAATATTTCGCGTGATCATGATTTTTTTTCCCTTAGCATTGTAGATTCGAATACATGTGATAAAATTCAATCAACAAGGGCCCAAATCACATGTAATAATGCAAGAAATATCGATTTTCGTTATCTTAAAGGCTACTAGTACCGATAGACAAACAAGAAGACTTCATATCTTTAAGACTTTTTGCATTTATTTGGCATCAGATAATACACTAATAATTCTAGTATATTCCGACCAAATGACCTCTGAAGCCCGAACCCACAAATAGTGCGCTTGGGCTGCCTGTGTTCCCCCAAGCCTCGGAGCCATGAAATTTAATATATTCAATTTCTGCCTCTCCAGTAAGATGGTCGATCAGCCATGCTTTAGAGTGAGATAAATTTTTTAACTGTGTAATCGAAAGTTAAAAATCCAATTTTCTCAAATCTTTATAAACTTTTATATTATAAGGTACATTTTATAACATTTCAATTAGTCTAGTTTCACCGGATCGACAAAGCTTTCACACTGTCCAAAACGATATCCACAAAAAATTTTATATCTCAATTTGTGAAGAAACTTACCGTTTTATTCCGTCATTACTTGTTTTTCCAAAGTATTCATTGCCTTCTACCGAACCACGTACACAGCAGATGCTCAGACATCAACTGGTCTATTCAAAACAGAAGCTGTGAGGAGACAATTTTCCACGGGCGTCGAAGGTTCGGTGTTCAATTAACAAGTCAGCGGTGTCATTAACCACTGCGGTAGGTAATTGATGTAAGGGAATATATATTGTACCCATTTTTATTGCACACATTGTATCAATCACAGTTGCATCCCAGGGGGGTTACTCCGGATTCCAAGTGACAGGGATGACTGAATGGGGGCAAAAATCAAAACCCCAAAAAATAACTAGGACTTCCAATAATGCCCAGAAAAATCCCTGGACCAAAAATTAACCCCCAAAAATCCCATGCCGAATTTCCGAGCCTTAAAAATTACCAAGCATTACATTGCAAACGATATAACCCAAAAGATAACAACAGTAGAGAGAGAGGAAAAAAAAACCTTTGCAGAACTACGTGGCCGGGAAACGCAGGCACTACCACGAATCTTCCCATTTTTTTGAATCCCCCCAAAAAAAAAAACAGACAAACAAACAAAGAAACAAAAAAACAAAAACCTTCTTACCTCCTACTTAAAACAAGCCACCCTATGCAAAAAATCCCGGAATCGAAAACTTCAAACCCCTTCTACAGGTGAAAGCCCGTGGAAAATTGTCTCCTTGCCAGCTACGCAGGCTAGCATGGTCTCATATTACGGAATTCTCAAAATCGCCGTGAACAGTTGCTTATTATACAGCACTTGCATGTGCGATAAGTTAGCAACAAGCGCATGTGGTTTTTACTTACAGAGAGCAATTAATTTTATCAGTAAATGTGGGGCATTGAGCCGTGTTTTAAACCTCGCGGGCCAGTGAAAAGGTAGCCTCCCACGCAGACGTTTTTAGGGGAGCTCGTTTTTCATCCCTCCCCTAAAAACGCCTGCGTGGGAGGCTAGTGAAAAGGAGGTGCGATTTTTTTTAATCTTTAGTTTACACTTTTGTCATTGCCAACTGGAAATCTGCTTTTTATAGATCGATTAGTTTCGTCTGACTCTGCCCGGCCGTGAATAAGCAATTACAGCCGCATCTTTAGGCTGTTAGAGAAGCGTGTAATTTTTAATTTAAGTCGGAGCAGTAAATTTACTTTAACTTCGCGGCACAGTAAAAGGGAGGTACGATTTTTTCAGTCTTTTGTTTTCTTATTCCTTTAGTGTATTGATCGCCGACGGAAAATTTGCTTTTATAGATCGAATTGTTGCGCTTAACCCTGTCCGAAAAGTTGCCCAAGTATATAACGAGTTGAAGATCTTCAGCACCAAGCACGTGTAATTTTCACTCGAAGAGAGCTATAAATAATATCAGTGTGGGGGCATTGAGCCGTGCTTTAAAACTCGCGAGCCAGTAAAAAGGAGGTGCGATTTTTTTTCGATCGTTTGTTTACTGAGAAGAAGCGGTTTGATTTTAACCCCTATTGTATTCTACGTTTTTCAATACATGAATAATACGTGATTTTAATTCTAATAAGTCAATCCGTGCTCGACTGTATAATTTAAACTTCATTTGCATATAGATTCAAAGTTCTCTAACGCTAAATTTGAATGTTGCCATCTCGGAAACAGAATAACCAGTATATGAAAAATCACAACCAAAGCGTATGCGATCAAACAAACTGAATTGTAAGTTCTCAGCTGCTTTTTTTCGAGCCCATATTCCTTACAGCAATATTAACGAGCATGTCTTGCGTAAAAGTTGCTGCCACTAGGCTCAGCCCGAAATAAAACACAAGG